GTGATTTTTCTTAAGTGCTGTCTCGGCGGCATCCACAATTTCTACGTTCGGAATATGGTTTTCGGATTCGTTCGAATCTGTAAACGTTGCAATCTGCGCTCGTGCCTTATCAGCAATCGTTTCTTCTATCTCTCGACGTCGCTTTTGTTCTCCCAACAGTTGCGCCTCAACCTTGTGACGAAGAAGCATTTCATTTTCAAGCTCTTTCCGACATTGCATGAAATCAACTTCTTGGTTTGCTTGCAACTGCGCAAAATGGCTATGCCATGCACGCCTCAGGCGACCCTGCTCTTCTTTCTCTCTTTCCAGCTCCCTTTGATGTGATAAATGTAACGCTTCCAATGCTTTGTCTCTTCGCGGCTCATATCCAGTTTTGTTTTTCTTAGCCTCACCCAGCCGTCTTTCGAGCTCTCCTATCCGCTTTGCAGCTCTTGCAGCATCTATTACCATGTCATGATAAAGATTTCGTGCAACCAATGTCCTCTTACAACAGTGGCCAAAGACAGATGGCGTTGATCCTTCATTTCGGTACGAATCGTAGGCTACGATGCCATGCAGAAGCTCGATAGCTTTTGGTCGGCGTTTGGGTCTCGTTGAAAGCATGCGGCTGATCGCGTATTCCAAATAGTCTTCTCTGCGGGTACAATCTTCACTGTCAGTTTCCAGCCACGTTGACTTATGCTTTGTGTTTGCATGGAAGGCAGGGTCGACTCCTCGATGTGTTCTTAAGAGCTGTAGCGAGCCTCTTCTATGCACGGAGAGGATTTCGAGGAGAACACAACCCAAAGAGAACATGTCTGCTGCTCGTCCACTTGGCTTCCATGCAGCTACTCTAACGGTTTGATCAGTACTTGCTGGATAAGATGCGCTGTCAATAAGCTTACTCTGGAGCAAAATAACGGGGGGTTCCGCGTTCATTGTCCGTCGCGCTCTGAGAAAGTAGTGTAAAGTCTGTTGAACTACCGAAGTCTGTCAACCACAATCGACCTGCCGAAAGAAGTATGTTAGATGGTTTCAGATCCTTGTGTCTAATCTGCTTCTCGTGCAAATAGGCGATTGCGGACACAAGGCAGCCGATCCTGCAATAAACAATGGACGCCCAGCTACCTCCGCCACTTTCTGGGAAATCATAATGGAGAGCCTCTAATCGAGTTTTCACGTCGGAGTCGAGAGAGCCACGTCGCGTCCCGGATGATCCACTCTCATCCGCAGCTACAACCTTGGACCAAGCCTCGACATCTTCGAAGAAGGTGTGTAAGTCGCATGTAGCCACTGGGTACAGGAGAATACCCAAATGCTTTCGCTGGACGTATGTTCCGATGAGCTGTACGATGTGCACGTGAGACAATCGCTTCAGTATTTCGACCTCTTTTCTTTCTCGCTCTCCAATGCGACGTCTGAAGAGTGTTCTCTTGTGAGCAATTTTGTAGCCTTGTATAGTCGTCTCATAGACGTCACTCATTGCTCCTCGACCAAGGAATCGACCTGATGTTTGGGTCAGGTTCACTGGTACAGTCGATACCCCAGGTGTTGACTTACCTTGCACGATAGGCAGAGTTTCTTCATCGCCAAAGTCGATATGTGAGCCCCTGTCTAATTCAGACCAATCCTTGATATCGATCTGATCTCCGTTGGAAGAGAGTGTGTCCTCAACAAGAGTTTCGTCCGCGTATGGAGAGGTCGAAGTATTGTCCCAGCCTTGCGCCTCTTGTGCTCCTTTGTGTACATCATCAACAGTACCCATGGCCACTGGAACGCCGAAAGATGCGACTACAGGATGATGTATGCGGTGAACTCGGAAAAGCTGGCGGTAGGTAATATCGATGTGTTGTAGTGATGGGGGAAGCAGGTGCAGGTTGCGGCTGAGCGGAGCTGCGCCTTCTCCAAGCCGCTGCGAAAAGAAGGCTGCACATGGAAAACACGGCAGCCAATCGCACTAAGTGTATACATACGGCCCCCGAATTTGAGGCTATGATTTCAGCGAACCTATACGAGGTTAGGACACAATACGAGATTAGGTCAGCAATCACGCATAAATTTGCCAGTGTCGCAACGGCCACAGTCTATATTTTCTATGGCAGATGACTGCGCATGCATGTTATAGTCTTCTTTACACCACCGCGCATCCTTAGATCTTACAGTGATATTCTGCCCCTCTTGTGTTCCCTCATAGCCGCGAGGTTTTGTATTTGAAGTAAGTGAACATACCCAAAGTCTGCTCAGCTTATCTTTGTCCAGCCAATCTCCGCTCCTGGACCTCAGACAAAGCCCGGCTACCGCTCAGGAAAGCAACAACTCCTACGACAGCAGCCGCTGGCAGAGTCTGGAAGAGGTTCCAGGTGGTGTAGTAGAGAAAGAAAATACCCTCCATCGCCAGGATAGAGCCATAAAACAGCCCGTGCGACACGGGTGCGTTGCCCAGAGCCTTGCTCAGGTGGCTGGTGTTCGCGCCCAGTGTAGCCCATACACCGAGAAGAATGGGCAGCGCAGCAGCAACAGCAGCCGCGAACACAATTGTTATGATCTTAGGTGGAGACTTAGCATCCTCTTTGAAGATGTGGTGGATCTCAGATTCGGCGGCGTAGCGGACGGGCGGCTCGGGGACGCTGAGAGGGACGCTGGGGTCGCGGGTGACGGCGAGATCGAACGCTTTGCTCTTGTATGGCGCGGAAGATCCGAATGATCCAATGACGATTGATGCGACGATTGGTTTCTCCGATGTCAGGAATTGGTGGGGTAGGTCCTTGTGAGACTGGATGTGTTAGCTGTGCTGGCAGCCATTGCAACGCTTCACCTACCAAATCGACCTTTCCCTTGCCGCTGTCCTTTACATTGAACACAAAAGACTCTTCCAAACCTGTTGTTGGTTCGGTCAGAGTAAGGAATGCCTGATGAGGTCGCTTCGCGGTGCTTCCATCGAGGGTTGTAAGGACAAGCTTCAATGTATCCGTTGCGCCCAACGATACAGATTTGCCCAGCGGTGTCAAAGGACTCAATCTAAATGCTCATTAGTCCTGCAATAATTGCACATAACGCAAGCTCAAGCTCACTTGTCCTTTGAACCTCCGCCAACACCAGCACCTTTGCTGGTGACAGTCACGGTGGCATCCTCAAAGCTCCATGAGGAAGCTGCGGAGACAATAGCCGCGCCCGAAAGTAAAAGGGAAGAAACGAAGCCTTGAAGAACCCTCATCGTTGCTGATTCGGAAAGAGTGAACGCGGAGCTGTCAATGTTGCGCCGACACAGACGTAAGCGTGTCCTTTGCCAAGACTTCGACCGGCATTTTCCGGCGCTAGTTGCCCATGCCTTCCCTCGTCAACTCAACTCACACGCGCGGAGAGCGACGTCACTTGATTCACAACTGATTATTATGCATCAATCTCGAGGTCATATTGAGATGTTGTCAATAAGCATACTCACAATGATGAAAATCGTTTGATCGTTGCGTCTCTCTGCAAGACTCACACATACAGACAGCCATACTAACGGACCTTTCTCCTGCGCAACAGCACCCTCCACCTGCGCTTGGTCTTTGGAACCTCATCCTCTGGGCCCTCTGGGCCTTCTGGATCCTCTGGACCCTCTGCATCCTCTGAATCATCCAGATCTGCTATCCACAGCACATTAAGTATCAATCTAACCCATTGTCTTTCATCCTTCGGAAACATCTCCATCCACTCCTCTTCAACAGCCACCAAACATGCCACATCCCCATCCTTATGCTTTCCGCGCGTTGCGTCACGATACATCTCCAGAAACCGAAACCCCCGCGACGAAACCAGCGTCCTAAAGATAGCGAATCCCAAATCCGGTACTCGAAGGTGGTAGTTATTAAACGCAAACGGGTCCACCATCGTGTTACCCCTCAGAACCTTATACGGATCATAAGATAGCTCACCCAACCCAACAACAGACTCTTTCCTCAAATCCTGAATCCTCTTCTCAATCACATCTGTCGTAACCGCATCCCCAATCCTATTCTTAAAATCAAGTTTCTGCTGCAGCTCATCCAATCCACGTGGCGGATACACAGCAGCGTACTCCGGCTCCCCATAGATATGGTACCGAGCAGTGCTATAGTCGCTTTGCCAACACCTAGCTATGGCTTCTGAGATATCGTGCCTGTCACTCTCGCTGACGTTGTCGGAATAGTATTCCGGTTGTTGCCACCATTCTGTTCGGCAGAGTGGGCATCGTCGCGAAGAGCCGGATGAAGTGTCGAGGCTCATTTGGTGGACACAGGCTGAGCCGAGGATGTGGTTGCAACCGGGGAGATTTATGATGGCGAGGGGCTTGTCGAGCATTTGGAGGGCGAGGTTCTCGCTGCCATAGGGGAGCTGGCAGATGGCGCATGTGTCTTGTTCTGAGAATAGGTTCGGTTGCTTGGTGGAGGTGTGGTTTGCGACGAATTGTGAGTAGGTTCGGGGTGTGGAGCACTTCGTGCAGCAGGGGTCGTTCTCTGCTGGAGTAGTGGACATGGCTATGTAGATATTCAGCAGTCTTGGGGAAGATACTGGAGGTCGTGGTAGAAGGCAGATGAATAGATTGACGAACACTTCAAGCGCGTTGAATGAAGAGCAATCTTGAATTCCATGCTTTGCACGATCTGCCTCGTCAGGTAGAGTGATGAACAATTCATGACTAGTGCCTGCCACGCTTGATCTTGTGGAAGTGAAGTGTTGAATGTGATTTCGAAGTGGTGAATAACATAATACTAACTCCTGAAATATTCGATGGGTATGTTTCATCGTTTTATGTTACAAAAGGTTTGCATCTGTGGCTAATACCACAGCCCCGTAGCGCGTGAAGCGCAGGTGTTCGTGTAGTGACAGACGGAATGCTTCCAAATTCCCAGGTCATGCTCGTACAATATGTGGTGTATATACAACGAAGGTGTGTCGTCCGAATCGTGACAAGAAGCGCAGTGCATCTCTTCACAGTCCCTTCTCTTGATCGAGGGTTTCCTCATGATGGTCAAGTTCTCCGTGGCTTTGTGGGTTTATTTTCCGACAGTCTGATCTTTCAATTCCTTTGTCTTCTCAGCGACCATGTCAGTCACACCCTTGGCCTCCTCTCCCACTCCCCTCGCCTTCTTAGCCATCCTGTCCTTCCAGGCCTTGTCTTCCTCGTCTCGCATCTCCAACTCCCTCAGCCACCTGTCTCTCTTGTCCATGCGCTCCTTCTGCGCAACTTGCTTCTCGTACTCCTTGCGCTTCACGCGGTCCTTTTGCCAGTACATATTTCCTGCGACCAGTACGGCGATTGTGAAGGCTTGGGCGTATAGACGTCGGCGGAAGTACATGTTGGTCGCCTTGTGGTCACCTTTCCGCATCGAGCGGGTTGCGCCGATAATGGCCCAGACGGTCAGACCGCAGCCGAGGGGCACGAGCGGCTCTTCGCGGAAGCGGCGCCATATCTTGTCGAGGGTGTTTTCATTGTAGAAGTCGCTGGATGACGTAGTTAGTAGGTGTATCTTATGTAATCCTCAAGATTGGCTAGAAGGATGTCTGAGTCTACATACGCATTCTCGTCGAAAGAAGAGGGCAGCGGCGCGCTGTTTGGTGGTCCGAAAGACATGGTGGGTGGTATGCAGATGCAAATGCGGAGGCGGCGGAGGTGTCGCGTGGGTAGAAGTGTACAATGACAGGGACGTTACATGAACCCGCAGATCTAAAAGACTGCGCTAGCTCTGAATGCGCAAATTGAAGCTATACAGAAGCCCTGGAAGCGCTATTACAGGTATGGAGTGGGTTGTGTATGGCTTCAAGATGCGGAGCAATCGATTATCTCACCACTTCGGCCATCGGCCCTTCCTGATGTTCCAGGCCCGATGCGCGCGAGTGGTGCCTACAACTGCATCACCAGAGCTGCGCGAACCACGACAGCCCGGGTCAAGCATCTCTATCCACTCCAAACCACCACGTCGCCTTCAATGAGAGACGCGGCGACAGGCAAACTCCCCTCGCTGCGCCATGAACGATGAGGCCGAGTCGTCTCGAGCTACTCAGCGCCATGACAACACGGCCGCATCCCACCTGGCCGATCTAGAGGATGCGCTGGCCCGCTTTGAAGAGGCGGAAGAGCGAGAGAAGCAGAAGCAGGTCAAGCAGCGGAAATTGGATGCGAAGAGGAAGCGCATACAGATGCTGGGCGAGCTGTTGCGGGAATTGGACATGATCGTCTACCTGGAACTCATTACACTCTACCACCTGGAGTACGCTTACCATTCACATGCTGCTACCTTGCGCTAATCGTTTCTGTAGCTGCTCGTTCTTCTGGCTCCTGTTCAAGGCACTTACACATGCCTTCCTGCTGACGCCTATCCCCGACACCGCGACCGTCACCCGCCCACCAGACGAACCGAGGCCCTTCCTCCCGCTGCTCCTGATATCGTTTGGAGTAAATTTCCTCTTACATCTTACATATCCCGCGCCATCGGCTGGCGAAGATACCAGAGGCTATCTGCACGGCGGCTTGATGATAGACTTCATCGGGCAGCAGGGCCCCACGAGCAAGTGGAAGCTTGGGGCGCTCGACATATGCATCCTGTTCCTGCAGCTTGTCATGGTCTCGGTACACGTCAAGAGGCGGGAGCTGAAGAAGAAACTGGCCAAACTGTCAGCTGGTGGGGGTGCGCCAAACACCACTACCACCCGAGCCACGTCAGACTCGGCACCGACAGCGACGGCAGCGGCGACGAATGACAACACGAACCGAGATCAGGATGCCGATGATGAGGAGCGAGGTGTGTTACACCGAACCGATACGCTGTCAGACTTTGGCATGGATCCCGAAAACGAAGAAGACGCCCTGCTACCATCATCCTCCGAATCTGGCCATGCCGACGCTATGGAGCTTCTCAGTTCGGGTCAGTGTGTCATTGGCGACTTCACCCTCATCGACACCCTCCTGCAAGAGAACCGAGATTACGCGGCTTACCGATTGACGCGCACCGAGAGCGGCAATAACGACATGCCGGAAACGCTACGGCGGCTCAATACCTTGCGAACTCGTTTCGGCGTGGGTGGCGGGTGAACGCAAGTAAGACGTTATCTTATCATCGCCTTGCTCCGATGCACGTGTTCCAACCAGCTCCGCGGTGACACTGCTGTGACATGCCATGCACGTTGTCCCAATGAATCATTGCATGCAGCACACAAAGCCACCGCGTACGCCTAACTCATGCACGTTCGGCTCGGGTGCCCCCACGCGTTCGTTTCCCGTTGTAAGACGGCTAGGAGGGCTTGTTGCAAGCATTGGTGGCGCCGTGCTTGGACTACCCCAGTAACATTATGCGACGTGCAGTTGTGTGATCGCTTAGTTGTGGCGGTACATCGAGCAGATCACCATGATCTTTGTATGCGTGAACGGGCCTGGGGCACTTCGGTTAAGGGGCACATGCGGTGGAAATACCACTGCATTACGATCCCACACCATGTGCGCATGATGCCAATGTCGCTTGAGATTCCCGACAATTACTCTATGCCGTTCCTCATACTATGGGCGCTCTATCGGAGAGCGTTATCTACCTGGTCTTAAGCGATTGAAGAGAAGCGGGTTATAGCAAGGCGGGATTGTTGGTCAGAGCTAGACTGTTCCCAGATGTTTGCCAAAAGGCACCCATAATACTGCAAAGATTGCCAATACAGTCAGCACTGGCACTGCAGCGTTCTGCCAGTCACCGGGAAACTTGATCAGCCAATAGATCCAGAAGCCGAATGCGGCAAGTAATGGCACGAGGTGATAGACTGCCATGAAAGCGAAGGAGATTGCGTGATCGGCCTCCAGTCCCCAGGCGACCGCGATGGCGTCGGATCGTATATCGAACTCGCTTTTCTTTTTCGGTATACAATTTAGTCGGTATGGGCGGCATGGTAGACTCACACAGTCATGCCATGGGTTGACCAATGGCCATTTGCAGTTCATGTCGCAGGCTTTGAGACAGACTGCAAATGTCTTGGGGGATATCATGGGAACTGTACCTGGTTTCGGGGCATATTCGTAGTCATTTTCGAACTTCGGGTAGTCGGGTAGGCCGTCGCCTTGAGACAGGACGCGCCCAGCATCGAACTTTTCCAGCTTGACAAATCTGCAGAATCGAAAGCGAAATGGTGATATGAGCCGTTTGATCCAGTTTCGATGCTTCTTGTACCGTATTTTGAGCTCGCGGAAAAAAGCGGGATCATTCAGTGCAGCTGTAATGTCGATTTGTTCGATTTCAAGAGACCATCGCGAGCCTTGCACACCGAAGAGGACGCGCGATGATGGAGTTGGGACAGCAGTTGATGGATCCGTAGTTGGCTGACCCGATACCTGCGGTGCGGAATTGCCAGTGTTCATTGCCGAAGGGCTGGTGCTGGTTCCACCTGCAACTGGTGGGCTGGTCACCGGTGTCGAAGTTGTAGAAGAGGTCATAGGAGTATAGCGTTGGCCAGCTTTCGATGAATTGGAAGGATTTGATGCTCTCCCGACAGCCGCCTTGATCCATGTCACTGGAAGACCCCACCGCCGCTGGCCGATCCGTGGTGTCGCGATATGATTGAGAGACTGTGGAGCGGTAGGACTCGTGGTCTTTCCAGGGCGCTCGATGTGACAACAAAAGCACTGCTTCGGATGATCCGGCAGCGAAGACATGGCGTATTGAATAATGTAGGATTCGTCCGAAGACAAGATCTCATATAGCTGGTCTCCGCCAAACTGTATGGTTTAGAAGCCTTACTCAAATTATCAAAAGAATAAGAAACGTACCTTCCACTGGAGACGGGATTCTTTATACGCAACATCAGGTACACGAGGATTTAAAGGCCACCAGTCCCATTCTACCATCGTGTAATCCTCCAAGAAAGCCTTGGTTCTATTGAAGAACGACGTATCATTCCTGAATGAGAAGTCTATGGCGCATCTTGGTATATGTGACAAGAGCTGCCGTAATGGACCGCGTAAGGCCAAGAGCGCGAGGTCGGTAGTCAGATCATAATAAGGCGCAATTTCTTCTCTGGGCAACCTGTCTAGGACGGCGATTTTATCGGCATTCGCCCTAAACTTTTTGTTCCATTTATATGATGAGATAGTGTCGACGTCCTCCAGATATTGAGTAATAGCTGAGGCAATAGGCTGCCATGTGGTCATTAGCTGTTCGTCAATGCTACCGCCTTTACTACGGTCCACTTCGCTATCGGGAGGCGCGTGAGCATTGCTGTGGTGGTGACGTAGCAACTTAGAGTACTCGATAATAAACCGATCTTTTCCCAGTTCAGCCAAGGCGTGTTGGTATATATCAATCATCCACCGGTCCCATTCGAGTATTGTAGAGTAGTTTGATATGATGGTAGACTCTGTCGGTCCTGCGTGGGCATCTGTTTGGAAGCTCGGCCTGAGCGGTATGTTGCTTCGGTTTGTCCCTTCCTCTGAGTCTATCTCGTTCTCCGGCTCACTTGATGACTCTTTTGGCTGTCTTTTCGACGATATAAGGTTCTTCATGTCCTCTTTGAGCAGCTTGAATGCTGTACTTGTCATCAAGACCTCACGCATGTTCGTGAGCGTCTCCAAGCTACTTTCACCCTCATGTGTCTCTCCTTGCTCGTCTTCATCGAACGAGGATTCACCAGCACTAATATATCCGGAGTCATCTCTTTTGTCTAATCGCGCTTTTGCTGATTGAGATCTCTCCAGTACCTCTTCCGAGATCTCCCACGCCATCCATACCACCAAACGCGCAGCAAAAAAGCCCGAACGATCTTGCGTCTCGTCTTTTAGTCTTCTGGCAAACTCGATTAGTAACCGCCTAAAGGCGTTCACGAATGTTTGGCGTCCAATAGCACCATGGATTACAGTCGTGTAGAGTGGGCGGAGAATCTCGTGGTCTCGGAATATGGATCGCAACTCCCAAGTTGCTGCATCTATCTTCTCAGCAGAAGATCCACTACCTTTTAATACACCATTCGCAGCAGAGGCGAGAGATGGGATGGGTAATGTAGATATCTGATCTGCTGGAAAATTCGAGGAATCCAACTCAACTTGATCTGCACTCGACTCCTCAGGAGCAGGATGACCTTCTTTGGGGACAGTATAGTAAGAAGGATCCATAGAAACGAAGGGCATGAGATAGTGGTGGCGTATACTGCGCTCGATCGCTTTGAGGAGACTACAGACTTCCACATATCCAGTGGGGATTTCTATGCGGACCAGCTCATTGTCCTCTTCAACGGTGCTGTAAGTTGATCCATCGGACTCTCGGTACAAGCATCTGTGAATAACAAAGTCAACCCAGCTACATTCAGTCTGTATTGCGATTGACTTACCTAGCTACGCTTTGAGCTAGAGTATGACCCACTTCACATAGCTGTTCATGAATGCGATGGACTTCAAATGAATTGTGACAGTACACACACTTCCGAGCATGCACCTCAAAATGGTAACATGCCCAGCTTTCCTCCGTGTTGAGTGGGCGTGACAAGCTGTCTTTGGGGTCTTCATTGAAATCGACGGCTACGTCGCGACGACCTGGACTGTTGCGGACAGTATCCTGCATAGCCATTCGTATAGAAGAGATGCGTCACCACTGCGTCCCCAACTCTACTCCAGATATCCATTTGTCGCGAGATCTCTCTTGACACAACAACAACATGCGACGCTCAGAATCGCTGACTTTGCTAGTGACTTCGGTTGTACAGAGATGTTGGTAAATTTGGGCAGATAGGAACAGAGACGTATCCACAATGTTCCTCTACGCTGTTCTGCTAAGCGCTAGGCCGCATCGTATTCATCCACCTCATGCACGCCATCTACTCAAATCACTGGCTTTTACTAGCAGAATAGTAATCTTGGTAAGGCACCGATCGCTATGGGAGAGCCTGGACGATAGGTGCGCATGCGAGCCATACACCATACCGCGCGCCTGACTCACCTGCATGCATCAGATCATCTCCGCATTCACCCAAATCAACCCCATAGCAAATGTAACGTCAACATGCGCCCATCTCCCCAGCATCGCACACCGATGACGGCAGCGCCGGGCGCCAGTTTGCCAAACGCCCCATACCGCCCGACGTCAGCCGTCCTACCAGTGGCGACGAAGAGTCGTGTGTCTCGCCAATCTCCGTTTTGGGGGCGAGATTGGGGCCTCCATTCGACGCTCAGCGTTGTGTGCTGTCCAATATCGAGGTTCCGTCTTACGGCAGATTTAAGCGGTCGTGCCGACATGCACAGCATGCGAGATCTTACGGGTAGCCAGTGCCGCTCTGCTGCAGAACCAGGTGTCTGCTGCAAGACTTACATTGCTTGCGCAAACGTGGCGTGAGTGCTCTCCCGCGCAGGGGGGAGGGGCTGCGTGTGATGGTACGCTGTATACGGAGTGGTCTACTACCTTCACGAGATGGATGGATCTCGCTCGTGGGATGGCCATGCGAAACCTGATTGCGAAAGCGGGAATAGTCAGACTCGACACGTCGGGAGGTACAGTTATCGTCCACCAATACTTGCTGTCGCCTATCGCGCCTTCTATCTCAAGCAACTACACGTGCGTTGTGTCACCCACCTATACCCAGGTACCCACCCACCTTCATTTCCACATGGCGAACATGGAAGGTAGGAATAACAAATCATATTATGGAGCAGCTTTTGGAGGACCCTGCATGGCCAGTTCGTATCGGAGGCCCTTTTGCAGTGATTCGCGCGAGCCGCGTTTTGCTCGCATTCCTTCGATTCTCAAAGTCGTCTCGGAACGGGCAAAGCACGATCGTACTTCGGCTGCCGCGACGCGAAGCTGCGTGGGATGAATAGCATAATGTGCAAGGTAGTGAAACAGAGAAGGATGGCTGAGTCTTCAGTCGTGGCCAAACTCTGCGTTTGCGTCCTCGATGACACGAAAGGTCGTCGAACGTTACTCTCTCATCTCATTCGCAACCGCACCACATGCTCGCGGATGACGCGCGCCCGGTCAACGGGCGGGTTATAACGGAAGCACGGATCGGAACGTCGAACGACGCACCGAAACCCAAATCCCTCTCATGGTTTATTCGCCTCGACATGCACCCACACGGCGCCAAGAATAGCATGCCACCACATGGTCCCACCTCTTGATGATGCGTGTGGGGAGCTCAACGATTGGCCGAAGCTTAACCTGCCTTGTGAGCGAATACTAAACTTTGGCTTGAATTTTTCTGATTGGCGGGATTGGCTTGCCTTGCGAGGGTGCGAGTAAGCAAGCGATTTGACATCTTATGATATGCAGCGCGTGGGCCGACTGAGTTGCATCCCCGTTCCTTGTTGTGTGTTGCATGCTCGCAAAAGGAGTTAGTATGCTCACGTGACTGATCCAAGAGCTCGCTTGCTTGTCACTCCTTTACAGGGCTTTGTCATTGCTGACATGCATGGGCCACGGCGTGTTGCACCGCGTGGCTTGCATGGTTGGGCTCTGAGTTCAGCGTCCTGGGGAAGGCGATGCACATTTCTGACAAGGATAATGCTGGTGTGATGCATACGTGACCCGACAGGACGGTTCGGCGTTTGGGCTAGCTGCAGCATGGAGGGTGGGTACGTGCGGGATTATAGAACTGGCGAGCGTGCCATAGGCGATGCGCGACATGCGATGCAAGATGCGATGCTGAACTCGTTGCGACTTTACTATACCTAAGCACTTGACCCGCTCCGCCGGCTCTCGCTGGGGTGAGACACCTGAGTGGACGCATTTAGTTATGTCTGACACGACTCGCTGCATATTGCATGCCGCCGCTTGAGGTTATTGGCAATTGCGCCAGACTCCATACGTACGTTGACAACCGATCCTGATGTAATAGGATTCATATCGGTTGCAAGCTGCCTTCAATATGTGCTACCGAGGACGGTTGGGGAACTCGTGTCGAAGCGCAAGTGCTCACGATCATGCATGTAATGGAGTGGGGTGTGCAAGTCTTGCCCCACAGTTCTGCAGATTCCTGGGCGTATTCTAGTTGCGAAGATCAATTTTGCGCAGCAGGATCGCCATGTCTTCTCGAGTCAAAGAACGTGTAAGGGGTTTATCGCGAACACATTCGGCAGGTGCGAAGAATTCAGTTTGAAAAGAGCGCCGTGCGATATTTGCTTTGTCGTCCTGCAACGTAAGGCGAAAAGACCATGTAACCCTCATATGCGCCAGATATACAAGGTCATCGAGTCAGTCGTACGATCCGGTGAGAATTCCGCTCATGGCCCGCTGTATGGAACAGCATCGTCGTGCAGTAAAGCAAATATTACATGCAGGCGGAGGAGCGCGATGTCATCGCGTGACAAGATGAATCGATAGAGGTGCACAAATAAGTCCGAGAGAAACGACTTTGGCGCTGTGCAGATCCAGTCCCATGGAGACAGCCCCTATGGCGATGTATCGACATGGCAGGAATATGCGGTGTGAACTATAGGTACACGTGTCGAGAGTCGGTCATCTGGATGTGTGTGGAGTCCCTCTAAACCGCGGATGTACTGTGCTCCCACATGAATGGACCCGTTATGCAGGTCAAAAAGATACCAGCTGCAAGGGATGCAAAATGGGGAAGTTGATCCGGAAAGTGAATCCCAGATGCCCCCATAGACTCTGCAACCAGCAAAATGAGGTTTCTTGTGCCGTGATGCTGGAGCAGGAAAACGAAGGCACGCATCGACAGTTGCAAGCGACCGAAACGTGCTGACAAAACCCGAGGCATCTACACTCGCGGTCGGCCCGAGTAGCGAGAAGTATTCGGGTAAGCACAGCAAAAGAAGATCATGAGCCGGAACCGCTGCAACATGCGCAGTCTTACAGCCTTGTCACCCGCCGCAGAGGTAAACGGTGAGCAAGTGTTGATCCTAGACACAGAAGCCGGCGTGATTGGGTGGATCTTTGTCCCCGGTCGCGGCATGTCATCAATCAAGACCCTTGTACGACGGCGGCTCTGCCTAGGTAGTTCTTCCAGATGCGTAGGATCACGGGTCAAGCGGCTGGCTCGTGGGTAGGCTAGGTTGCATCCTTGCAACGCATGCTGCAGCTTGGAGAGATTTTTAGTGCTGCTCTTTGCACGTCCACCCGCATCATCATTGCGAGTCAGCTTTACACCGGATGCTGGTAGATATAGCGTTCGCGGATGTGATGGCATCGAAAGTGGAGAGATGGCGGTGAAGGTGTTGCGTGCGCGCTTCGGGGGCCCGGCAAATCTGAGATTAGGCCCGATGACGAGGGTGGTGATCAAGAGCCATGTCGTGCATACAGCGGCACAGCAGCTAGCCCCTAAGTATGTCATCGTGATGATTGGCCCAGACGCCCAAGTGAAGAGTCCAATGAGTAGCGCTCTGGACAATTCGATTGCGACATCTTTCCTGTTGTTGTGTGGGTGATCCTGGTGTAGGGCTAGTAATCAGTCGCGGTGTTTGCGACAGCCAACTTGATGTTGCTGCTCGTATGTCCTTACATGCTATGCAAGCACCGCGGCACAACAAGATTTTACTGCCTGGACAGACACTGTCAGCAGCATCTCAGTCTCTAGTGTCGGGGAGAACGCCGTCGATATTGTATTTCTCCGGAGACTTCCCCATCGAGGCAATCTATGGCAGGCCGTCTTCTGTCAGCTTGGAGCGGCTTCTGGAAAACGATGAGAACCACAATTTGGCCGAAGGCGGTATATTCGTCCCTTGATCGCTGTGCGTAAAGAAAGGCGTGCACAAGAGCAGGATAGTTGATGGCTGGACCGTGCGGAAGTGATGTTAACATTCGGACCGTTTTGAGGAAGGTTCAGACTACTGCGAGTTGGGAAATAATATGGTGTGGTATAATAGACCATCGGAGAGGTCCCAGGCAACGTTGTCGATATCGATCCTATGCCCAGTCTACCCAGAGTCTGCGGCCTAGTGTTTAAGTTGACAGAAACACGGGCGTCTGTTGGAGTTTGGACCTAGTGACCAACAGTGACGGGCTGTCAATAGACCACCCAGATGACGAGAAAAGAAATTCTCCAAAAGGCGCTATAATGCCGTACATAAAGTTCCGGGCAAGCTCAAAATATAGCGCCGAAGAAGCCAACGGACCGCGCCGGAGGCGTCTCCGTTAGCTGACAAGCGAAACACGGAACTTAAACTTTGGCCAGCTCACATCTTCCTGCTTTCCAGTACAATGGTCATGTGGCTACCAACCTGTCTGACGGGATTTTGGGGACTCTGTCTAAACTGATTCGTAAAGGTGTTGCGAGCACGAGGCTCTAGTCACACACGTGTCTGTGCGCCTCGTGGTAGTCTTTGCGGTGAGTATGCAGCACCAACGTGTCGCGTCTGGTGACACTGTTAGGTGCACTACTATCGCCGGACGCTTGTCAACAAGGTGGAGCCTTTCATGAAACCGTGAGAATTACAATGACACACTCGGGAACACTCATCTGGAGAGCCGGAGACCGGAGAAGACCGCCGACCTACTACTATGGTAGTCTCGAACTCAACATCCGCCACTTCGGATCGCTTACCTAGAGTGAGTTTTAAACTTTCGACGGGTGTCTTCACCAAGGTGCGACACGAGTGACGCATTTGGTATGATGTGATGGCGCCCGTCCGAAGACCCTTTAGTGGTCAGCGACGTCTGTGAAATTGAGGCTGCACTCGGTATGGCGTCGGCCTCGTTCGCTAAGGCGACAGCCGAATAAGGACTTTTAGACTCTGCTAGGTGTCTATTAGAGTTTTAAGTAGTAATGTTTAGTATATATTCTATAGAAGCAAAAGCAGCAGAACTATAAGTATAAATTCTATAATACTATAGTTACTTATTTATAAAGGTAGAAATTTTGCGTAAGTACTTAACTTCTTTTTATTACTATAAAATCTCTACTATTATTATTATATTTACTATTTACTATAGTATTTACTACTTTAATAAGTCTTTAGATCTCTAATTTTGCTATAAGCTATAGAATAAGAATAGAGGTAGAGGATAGAGAGTATATATGCAAAAGTACAATTTTGTAAGCTAAGATTTTAGCATTTTGTTACTTTGCAATCTATAGCTTAGTTAGTTATAAGCTATTAAGAATATATAATTATATTATAATTTTCTTTACTATAGTATAGGTAGACGTTAGTGTTTGTAAGATAGTTACCTTACTACTCTAAATTTTAAAAGCTTTAACTACGCTAGAGGCAGTAGCGCTAAGAACCTAAGCCTTAGCCTACCTAAAGCCTGCACCTCTATAGGATTTTAACTCTTTTAGAAATACATCTTTTTGTGTACTAGCAATAGACCTTACTCTTTTTAGACTAGCTTGTGCTGTAGGATTGTTAGTTTACTAATAAAATAGTATTTACTACTTTTACTAATTCTAATTACTCTAGTACTAATAAGTTTAAAACTATTACTATATAAGTATTAAACTCTAGCCTATACTTTAGGTAATAAGTCTAACTTATATACGCTAAGATTATTAGCTTAGTAGACGTATACATTTAATATAGAGACTTAATTATTATAATTAGTATTTATATTAGCTTTATATTTATTTTAAGTAAATTATAGTTAATATACTTAAGTAATATTAGATTACTTATACTTAAGAAGATTACTACGCTTAAAGCTCTCTATATAGATACTATTATTATACTTAATAATAAAGTTATACTTTCTATACTTAATACTAAGTTATAGTTACTTATAAGCCTAAGAAATAGAGTTTATAACTACTAAACTTACTAAGTACTTAGACTATAAGCTTAAAGAGAAAGCTAACTAGTAGATAGGTAAAAGAATAAGAGTATAGAATATATAGAGAATTTAGTAGATTATGCTGTAGAGACTAGACAAATTAATTAGTATATCCTAATGCCTAATACCTCTGAAATAATACTAGACACCTTTTAGACTCTGGAGGTGAACGTCGGCATTGCCCAGTTCGTCATGCCGTATCCGAAACTCAATTTTGATTATCGCCTGATTTCGGGGAACATAACAGTCGAGTTGCATCGATTAGTCGGTCTATGATACGTTGGGCGTAAACGTCGCATTAGGGTTCAGACGTGCCGGCTGTCTCGCCTGCGAGATCCCGAAGAGAACGGCGATTAAATGAATGTTACCACGGCTAGTACCATTCGCGTGGAAGCAGCTCCTAAGCGGCGGTTGATCCCGGCTTGTGACGGAACAACACTCGAGGGACCGTCATGATGGCAGATGTTGTAAATTTGTACGGGTATTTTGCAGCAAAGAGATGTAGTTCGATTGTCCTTGGTATCTGTGAGCAGGCACTCACAGCCACCATGTCGTTTGCTGAAAGGCGCACATGAGGTAGTACTGTACAGGATGAAAGCGACAAATATCAATCTTGATTCGATGACAGCGATGAGAATTATCCGTGAGGACAAGAGATTCTATATGCAATTTGGTGAAGACCGATGATGGACAAAGAACGAAAAGAGCTAGGGTATAACGCAGATATGTGCTCGCAAAATTGCAGAAGCTGGAAACAACCACCCAAGCGATATACATGCATCGTTGACACATGGTTGAGAAAGAATGTAAATAGAAATAAAGTGGTCGACGTGCGAGCGCAAGCCGGTTGACAATGTTATAGGCTGATCAAAGCATCAAAGCATCCTCTTCAAGGTATGGCCAATTGTCTAGGCACGGTGCTCGTATCGACGAGCCTCAGGTGGGAAAGAGTCGCGGTAAGCAGCTTGTTTAGGCGCAGGATGGTGAGGACCTGTGGTTTGCGCCTGTTGGTGCTGTGGATACTGATGAGGCTGGGTAGTATGCTGTGCAGAGTGATTTACAGGTGCAAAGGTGGATGCAGGATAGCCATGTGAGTCGTGGCTGGAAGGTGCCTCGGCGTGGTGAGGACCAACAGCTGGATGGTAGCTACTGGTTCTCCTTCGAACGTTGCGCTCTTCCTCGCGAAGTTCCTCTTCGTAGTCGTCATACGAAGCCTCTGAGCCATGTCCAGTTGTAGAAGATGGTGCGCGTGACGGTGCTACCGAAACACGCCTCAGCCGAGGCGACGGCGGTCGGGTGATGTGGCGTTCTGGATGAGCTTGCATGGCAATCGATCTCCAGTAGTCCCTCTCAGAACGGTAATACTCAGCATCCTCGTTCGAGTCGCGGACGCTCTGTTCCAATCTCGATATGCTCATGGAAGCCTCGCGCTCTTTTTCCTTCCTTCTGGCACGGAAACGTGCTGATGCGCCAGCGTTACGCCTCCTCTTCTCATCGGCGCCTTTGGATGCGGTTTGTGTTTCCACTTGGATGTTGTGCAAAGACCCGTCCTGGCTCTGGATTGTCATGAGCTGAACACTGCTCTGGTTGGATGGGGCCATGGCTATCATGCTATTGCGTTCACTCTCCATGGACACAGACCCCTGACGGGAATCGTGCACTGGGGTGTGTCTACGCATCTGGCCGTATGGTCCCTGAGTGCTGTGATTTTCGTACTGGCTCGACGCAACAGAGGCTGGCTGGCTGTAAGGTGAGTACTGTGCAATTGGACTGGCACTACCGGATTGAGGGAAGTTGACGCTTGGTCGACGGATCTCAGTACGCATCATGTTCGGCGGGGGAGTAGGAGCCGTAGGAGGGAAATAATGAGGGCGGCCGCCGGCAGGAGGTGTAGGTAAAGCCGGCTGGATTGTCATTGATTCCGTGGGACGTGTACTTGCCGTTAGAAAAGGCGATTGCTGGGCATCGATGGTGCCTGTGGGTGGATTTAACCTGCCGAGGTTGTGATTCCTGATCGACTTCTCGGGATATGGAGGTCGGATCGACGGCCGTCCCGGGGGTTGGAATGGCCTAGCATGCTGTTGTCCTTCCTGTGTGGATTGAGTGGAGTCCACACTATTGGGTCGACTGATGGAGGGCAGACTTTGCGAGTTCTGTGTATCAACGGGTGATGGCGAGTCCATCTGAGAGTTGCTACGCTTCAGACTTCGTTGCTGTTCCACCAACTCGGCTTGGGGATTCAGAATAGAGTGGACTCCGAAAGGGTTCCCATATCTTCGATCCGAGGGCGTGGGTGGGGTCCTGGAAAGATGGCGAAGAGGTGGCAGGGAAACGGGAGGGTTTGCCGGAGCTTCTCGCGGGCTCCTATAGGGTGGCTGCATTGGAGGATAAGACTGGATGGGCGACATCTGTGGGGTTGTTCGCGCTGAACGGGTTTCTCCTGCCGGTGGGTTTGACATGGAATAGATATCGTCAGAGCCCCCTTGGCCGCCCTGACCCGACCATGGGCCGTCGGGCTTTGGATCGTTGTGGTACGGCGGAGTTAACGAGTTCTGAAAACGTCGTGGATAATGAGGGAGAGGGGCCCTGATAGCGGGGAGAGTCTGAGTAGCCAGGGTGACAACGTTGGTTGGGTCGCCTAGAAGACAACCCAAGATGCGTGGAGGTAATGTAGTGTCGAGGGAGGCGAAAAGGATGGTGGATCAGACAATGTGGTGGCAGTCCCAACGGTGTAGTGGCAGCACGAGGCGTGGATGGGTTTCCTAGTAGGGCAGTTGAGGCAGTGTGGGGCTGACGGCCATGCTATACTGGGAGTAAGCGACCAAGGCTGCAGGAACGAGGACTGGAGATCGGTAGCAAAGTGAAGCGATGAGGAAATGAAGCTGCGAGGCAACGTCGGGGGAACTGGTAAAGAGTCTGGGGGTCGAGATCTGTCACGCCCGCAATCGGCACAGGTCGCGCCAGGACCGGGTGTGATATAAGAATTTGCGGTGTAATAGTCGGAGGATGGCTGGCCGGGCAGCAAACCATCGAGGGTGCATTGTGCCCCTGTCGCGCCTGGTCCATGTTGCGCGAGGAAGGGCAGCAAGTACATCATGCCTTGTCGGCGGCTTTGACGACGCGCTAGGCGGTGCCTTGGGCTTGCTGGGATACGCTGGCAAGCTACTTGCGCACGTCTTGCGCGCTACTGCATGTTCGACAGTGAAGATACGCGGAAGCGGAATACACACTAAGCCCCCCACCGCAACAACGCGCAGCTGGCGGCCAAGTAACGACGTCGAGGTGGCCTGCTGGCCCAAACTGACACAAGCGCACTTTGGCGGCCGCGCCCTGCAGCCCCCAGCACTGACCTGCGGGAGACTGTCCGGAAAGACGTCCTGTCATCTCATCTGCAGCTTGCCGGCGGCCCTCCTGCACCTCCATGGCGAGCCGTGGCTGGCTCGCACGCATGTCCTCGACCGCTGCTAGGGCCGGTCAGGCCAGCGGTTGCGGTAGCAGCGTGTGCGTGATGCGCACGACCGTGTCTCATCATGTGCCCCAGGCTATCCTTCCCTTGCCGCTCGCTGTGCAATGAATTGTGCACCTCATTTTGCTTTGTTGAGCCGCCTTATTGGCTGCCCGTCGCGCATTTAAAATCCCCGACGCTTGCCTCAGCGCTGCATATGCCTCGCGCGCTACGCACTGCACAAAAGGCGAGCCACAGCGTTGCATCATTGTGGCCCAAGACATCGATAGGAGCACTGGGCGCCTCGTTGCTTCAGTGGGTTGCTTCTTGTCCAGTACACCTGCATTTCCGCGGCCAGCACCACTAACGTCTCGGGACGGTCAGCGGCGGCAACGCCTCGTCTCGCTGCGGATGACAGAAGAAATTAGCATGCCCACGCCATGCAGCCACCGAGGAGCGATCGCTTCCGCCTTGGAAAACGTGCGTGTCGATAACGTGCATGTGGACGTGTTGCAGTGGCCATGTGGGGGTAGCAGCAGCTTGATGAGACGGCATGATAGAGATCTCGGTCGGTTGATTTGTATGACGAGCCTCTGAAACTCGATCGAATCAGTAACAAGGGAGGCCCTCGCCCTGCCGTCGCGATAATACTAATCGATATCGCCAGGGTTTGGGTGACAGTTCCCCGCGCTGTCGTGGGGGTGATTAGCTTGTGGAGCTGCAGATGTGTCCCAGCACGAGACTTGTGATCGGACAGATCGTCAGTGATCAGTTTCCATACACAAGTCAGTCCTGTATTGCGCAATTTGCGGCATCCTCTGTGCGAGTACTTTTGTGCAACGTAGCGTGGAGTTTGCGCCAGGCGAAACAGATCAGTAGGTTGGGCTTCAATTGCGTACCCCTGTCACATTGCCAATCACGTCAGGTGTCGGCCTTTTGATCCTTTTGATCCCACATGCGCACGCCGGTTAGAACAAGGCTAGCTCAAGTTTCGTTGCGACTGGTAGCTGGCGTTAATCCATGTACATTTCCTGCTTCTCGAACCTTTTCCATGACAATTCATTCCCAGAGGACCGGTAACGGCGTACACGTTGCAGGACCTGAGACGATCTCAATGCCGCGCATGTCATTCCTTCTGGAGGCGCATCGAGATGGACTGGACACTTGCGAGCAGCTGAAAAGTATATGTACCCCGAGTACGAGCGCATCAAACTCTGTGAAAGCCGTGTGCGGTTGCCGGCATGTTTGGGCAGTCTTTGAAGATCTGGAGCTTCTAGTGAGCCCTCGTGCGCGCTGACTTTGAGAGACAGGAGCAGTAGCTGGAGTCAGGGCAGCCTGCCTCGGCGCAAGCTGGACGCCCTCGTGAGGGCCTTGCTCAGGGATTTCCACCAAAAGCGTCATAGCTTGCGACCAACAGCGTGGTCCACACGGCGCCACTGATGGATCTCAGCCATCGGTTGGTTGATCCTCTCCACCAGTTTCCGGCTCCAGACTGTCGGTTGCGCAGCCAAGGCGATAGTTCAGGGGAGACCGCACCAGATTGTGAGGTCACGTCACACCTTCTGAGCTAATCACGGTCTATGTACACCGCACAGCCGCGAGAAGCGTTGGTTCCTGTTCCAAAATGCCGGACGGTATCGCCAGATCAACTTAGAGGATTGATTCAGACGAGATGGAGTGGTTGACTGACTCGTAGTCTCGGTGCAGTTCACGAGTTGGTACATCGCGTGTCCGGTGAAGCTGGGTACTCTCTGTGCCCACTTTTCAGTTTCCCAACCCCACTCACTGCCACATACAATAGCGGCGGCACAACTGCCGCTGCCCTCCGCGGGCGTGTCGACATCAAATTGCCTTGGTTGACGTGTTGTGAAGCTCCAGCATAGGGAAGTGGCGGCACGCGCGTGCTCGTCGCAGCGATGGATGCATCGGCACTTGGCCAATCCTCCACGAAGCTTCGCTTGGGCAGGCGTCCAGTTGTGTCGAAGTGGAAGGGAGACCCTGATGGAGGCATCGAACGAGTGAACAGTCCGCGGATGCATTTTGACATAGAACGCACGGCCCAAGCTTCTGCACGGGCGTTTGGGCCTCTCCAATGCGCCTGCCCAGCTCTGCTCAGCAATCACAACAAGACGAACGACGTTGCTATCATGTTACAGATCCTCACAGTATACATAAACCTCCGCCACAGATGAAGGCGGCATGTATGCAACATAAGCGAGATCCGTCCTGCAACCAACTGAACGGGCCTGCGGCACTCTTTTGTTTGGCCTTGCTACACAGCTTTCCTGCGCTTGCAACGCTTCGCAACCCCTTGTTGACGCCATGATCCGTAATTTAAGTTGCCCCGAGACAACGTCAAAATGAACAAACAATACCGGACATCTGTGGCAGATTCGTGTCGAAGCATGCATTGCGGGACTCGCTTCAGACGTTCTTTGTTACACGAGCAAACACCCACAACCGAGAACACTTTCAGCCGCCTGCACGAGGCCCAGTATCGCCAGTTCATTACTCGTATCGGCTTATATTATCAGTTGTATATCCCGGAAGCGGGAGATGACGTTTCTTACCCTGCAACGCATAACATATGAGGCGGGGGCTAATGTATACAGGTACCAAACGGGTTGCTTGATGCTCGATCGGAAATCCCTTTGTCTCTGCAATCTCGAACGGCCCTCTGGCTCGGTCTACATCGCCGCCAACCACTACAGTGAGCAAAACAATAGATGCCACCTCGAGACCTTGCCTGGGCAAACATGGGTTGGTGACTCGCTAAACTATCTTCTGCGTCAGGCTCACCACCCTGCACACCAACCCGCGCCTCCTGATTGTCCTTCTGATCACGATGTCTCTTTTCTTGCGCAAGCGCATATTCTTCGGATGCCTTTGCCAGCCAGTGTGCGGACCGGCTCAGATCGAGACATGACAGCGTCGACTACCAAGGCGTAGATCGGTAGATACAGTACGGCATTCAGGTGACAAAATGATGACCTTATCGTTGTCGAAGCAAGTCGCGGAGTATCGATCGCACACCACAGCTCCCTTTCGAAGGACGCGATACCAACACAAACAACCGTTTGCTCGTCCCAATCTCCTTTTGACTCATTATACACTAAGGCTGATGCAACACTCTTGGTAGCAAAAGATTGCATGCAG